AGAAACGTCCTTGGGCCGTGTCGGACCCTCTTGTGCTCTACTGCAGGCCCCGTGGAGCGCTCGTGCAGCGCTCTTGGGGGCCATGAAGTCCGCGCCCAGGACGAGAATCATATCTGACAAGAGGCAGCCGGTTTTTGTTTGTCGTCCGGGGACCCCCAGGGGCCACCCGCCGCGCGCGAAGAAGACAGGGTAGACCTCTTACTGGAGATTCTAGTGCGCCTTTGGCCCGTTGGATTGGTGAATTTTGGGGATCTTGTCCGCCAGATTGTCGGAGGTTGGCAGAGACCACCCTGCCAAGTCGACTGGCGAACTGCCTTTTCTGGGTCGGTTCTCGATCGGTTGTGCGGCCGGAGCTTCCGGGCGGGCCTGCGCCCGCCGGGTCTGGCTTTTAGAATGAGAGAGCGGTTAGGTATGAAAGCACGGGGGCCGCTGTCCACTCCCAGCTCTGGAGCTGGAGGGGCAGTGCTAGCACGCAGCGCCGAGAGGCCTCATCGTGCACGCAAGCGACGCAGGGGTCCTGCGAGCATCTTCGTGTGTTGTTTGGTCCCACTTTTCGGCATGAGTGGCGAGACGTGCGAGCTCGAAGCCGTCGCCACAGAAACATTGGGGGGGAGGAGGGCACGCACGCGTGCGCTCTGGAGAGACATCGAGAGAGAAAGAGAGAGAGAGAGAGAGAAAGGGAGAGAGAGAGACAAAACGATATGTATGTATGTATGTATGTATGTATGTATGTATGTATGTATGTATGTATGTATGTATGTATGTATATATATATATATATATCGTGGTATTGTGCCAGCGCGATGGCGGGTTAAGTGGCGCACGCTGATGAGCATTAGCATCGCCATGGCCGTGGGCAGAGCCCTGGTGGACCTGGCGCCGAAAAGGTAAGTCGGCCAGCCCATTCTTTCGTGCATTCTGACCGTCGCTGATCGGGGGGGGAGAGAGAGAGAGAGAGAGAAAAACAAACATGTATGTATACATCGAGAGAGAGAGAGAGAGAGAGAGAGAGAGAAAGCGAGAGAAGCAACATAAAGCACAGTGGAAACAATGCATACTATAGATCGCGCGCAGGCTGCTCCTTTGCGCGCTCGCGATTCCCGCGTCCTGGACCCCCCCACACCTGCCTCGCCTGCGCCCGAGATCTCCTCCTCGGCTCTACCCTTACGCAACCCTCTTCAAAGGGGGGAATGGCATGCGCCGCGCCCGCGGGAGTCTCGCTGGGCAAACTGTGAGTTTCGGGGCTCCACTGGACAGTAACGACATCTAGAGGACGAGCGTGTCGCGCGCGCCATGTGCGGTGGCGCAGTTGCGCCGCATCGCAGAGGGTCTCTGAAGGCGATGTTCGCGCGCGCGCGCGGGCGTGGGCGCGCGGAGCCAAACAAGTTCCTCGCGCGTGTGGGCAACTCGCGCGCGCATGCGGGGGAAATTCGTGCGTCGCATCGGCGGGGGGCTTGCAACACGATTTTCGTGCGGGGGTTTCGCTCCGCAAAGGATGTGGCGCCTCGATGCGTGACTGGGCACGCGCGTGCGGGGATCTCTCGCGGGGGAGGCGCGGGGCGTCGTTGTGGCGATGGTCTCGGGGCGCGATTTTCGTGCAGGGGTGTCGCTCCGCGAACCGGGTGTCTTTCGCTGCGCGACTGGGCACACGCTCGCGCGCGCTCGTGCAGGTGTGCCTGCGGATGCGTTGCGGCCGCGTGACATATAGGGGCGTGTCGATACGCGGCCACCGCGGGGGGGTGGGTGGGGGGGTCTTGCGGAGAAGAAATCCCGATCTCTGGGGCGTCTTGGAATTTCCTGGAACCTCGTGGAGTTGCGTGTTGCATCCTGCAATTTCTTGGGTATTCCTGGGAGTTCACTTGGGCTCTCATGTGCCTCCTTCCCTGGGGCTTCTTGAGGTTTCCTGGATCCTCCGGCGAGTTCTTTCTTGGGCTCCCTTGGGCTTCTGAGGCTTAGTGGAGCTCCCTGGGGTTTCCTGGGCGTCATTGGAAGTCCTGGGGGTTCACTGGGGCATCCTTTTCGGGGGCCGCGCCAGGAAAAAATGAGGCGGGGGCGGGGCATTTCGCCAGGGGGCACAGGGGTTCCAAGAACCCAAAGAGAGAGATTTTCAGCATGCTCCCCCTGTCTGTCTTCACCGCAGGCCATCGCAGGCCACCGCAGGCACTTTTGCTCAAGAGAGGGAGTCGTTCAAGTCGTTCTCCGCGCGGGTTGAAGGAAGGCGTGGCCTGCCTTCCGCATCGCTCGGAGGCGGGGGAGTTCACTTTCGCCCGCCGACGTGGCGTGGCTGGCCTTCCGTGGAGCGCCGTGCTGACCGCTCCGACCATTCATCGCCCGCTGTTTGACGGAAGAGCCCATTGGACGCCCCACGGCAACCGATGGTATGGGCCAGACGTCAGTCGGGCTTGTCCCTCCTCTACAGGGGGAATGTTCCAAAGTAGTCGAGACATAGCCTGGGGACTATTTTTTGAATATTTGTTTGACCATTTGGGATTTTTTAAGGTATTTTTTATTTTTCGTCGAAAATCCCCCTGTAGGGGGACACGCCCGACGTAACGTTGGTATGGGCCAGACGCAGCGAGGGTGGGCCAGGCAGGCAGGTAGGCAGGGCCATGGGCGACCGTTGGTGAGGGCCACGCAGGCAGGGGCAGTGGGGCTCTCTATTTTTGCCTCGGCATCGCTCGGACCTGTGCACTGCTCTCTGAGGAGCCAGCGCCACAAGATGCAGACCATGTGGGATCTGGGAGCATCTGGGATCACCTGGATAACAAACCACGACGTTGACAGGGGAGTGGACGTCCGAGCGATGGCAAGACTGCTCCCCTCTCCCTGGCAGGCCTGCCCTCCCAGGACCGGGCCGCCCCGCAGAGCTCAGTCGACCAACCCCCGCACGGGCCCTGGAGGCGCCCAGTCTTTGCAGCACGTGGCTGCTCCTGGCGCCCAGGGGAGGGGGCAGATGCCCCCTGCGATGGGCTGGGCCTGGCAGAGAACAGCTTCGAGGCTGCGCCGTCAGCGCTTCGATTGGGCTCCCCAGAGCTTTTCCCAGACCTTCTGATCGGAGCGCGATTTTCGTGAGCGCTCCGATCAAGGCTTCCCCGTCAGCGCTTCGTGAGCGCGATTTTCCCAGCGCTGCGGGAAGATCGCGACGGATGGTTTCTCGACAGCGTTTGGCCTCTGGGGGCCCTCACCTGGCCCCGGGGCCGTCCGAGAGCGGCTCGGGATGGACGAGCCGGTGCTGCGGAAGGGGCCCAGACCCCTGGGGGACCAGGTGGGGTTCTGGGTCCGTCCGAGGCAGGAATTTATACATGACCACCGCCTGGAGGGTCAGTTTTCGGAGCCTTGGCAGGCGGTGGATATGGACATATTCGGGCCCCCAGGGGCCGAAATATATCCATACCCACCGCCCGCTGGGGCACCAGGACGTCGGTTCCCAGGCGGTGGATATGGATAAATCCCCGCCTCGCAGTCCCTGTTTGGGTTCTCGAGTTCTGGGCCTGTGGGCCGAGGCACGACCCATAGATCCAGTCTGTACGACAGCGGCGGGCTCGTGTCGTCACCAGGGGCCCTCGGCGTCCCCCCCCCCCCGCCCCCACCTTAGGACGCAACTCTTGGGAGGTTACATTCGGCATCGGCGCTGGTAGATCCGTGGTCGAAAGCCGGCCTCATCCCGCATTGAATCCTTTTATCCAGCTTATTCCGGCTTAAATCCTGAGCTCAACCAGGGTCAATTCGGCTCGATGGCCCGTTCGTCTGGCTTAGTGCCCCGTAACATTCTTATTTAATCGCGTCGCTCATTCCGCCGGCCCATATTGTCGCACCGTTGTGGGCTAGCCGAGTTTTGGGGCCTCTTGGGGGCCGTTTTGGGGCCTCTTGGGGCCTCTTTTGGGCCTCTTGGGCGCCTCTTGGGGCGTCTTGGGGGCCTCTTGGGGGCCTCTTGGGGCCTTTTTGGGGCCTCCTGGGCGCCTTCTGGGGCGGAGGGCTCGATTTTTCAGTTCTCGGTTCCCCTCTTGAGCCCCTCTTGGGCCCGTCTTGGGGCCTCTTGGTCCGTCTTGGGCGGCACTTGGGCCGTCTTGGGGGCCCTCCTGGGCCGTTCCGGGGCCGTCTTGGGAGCCTCGTGGGCCGTCTTGGAGCGGTCTTGGGGGCCTCTTGGGCCGTCTTGGAGCGTCCGGAAGCCGAAAAAGCCAGAACGCAAAAAACATAGAAAAAAACAATGAAAATCAACGATTTTGGCCTCTTGGGGCCCTCTTCGGAGGCCTCTTGGAAGGCCCTTGGGGCGTCTTGGAGGCCTCTTGGGCTGTCTTGGGGCCCTGTTGGGCGTCTTCGGGCGATCTTTGGCCGTCTCGGGGCCCTCTTGGACCGTCTTGGAGGCTTCTTGGGGACCTCTTGGCCCGTCCTGGGGCCCTGTAACAGAACTCCGGCATCTCTGACCCGACCTTGCCGGGGACTTGCCGGGGACTTGCCGGGACCTTGCCGGGGTACTTTTCGTCTGGGGACCCCCAGGGGCCGCCCCGCGCGCGCGAACTAGAAATACTGTTAACCAGGTACAGGAGATCTTAGCACGCCCTGGCCCGTTGGGCCGGCGAATTGTCGCAGGCCTAGAGGTTGACACCAACACCAAGATCGGCGGTGTGCCTCCACCGAGGGAAGACGATCCCGATCTCGGTGATGTTGGTACTATTCTGGCTGCCAAGGCGACCGAAATATCACCACCAGCACCGAAATCTAGGATCATCTCCACCCTGTGGAGGCAACGCCTTGTGTTGGCGTTGGTGCCAATCTCTTCAGAGCGTGAATTACCTCCCCAGCTTTCGCTTCCAGGCAAAACCAAGTCATACCACGCGCCTCCTCGTCAAGCGGCCTGACCAGTACAGGCCGTAGTTTGGCATCGTTTGGTATCTCTTGGAAGCGAGGGTGGTCAAAAGCGAGGTAGGTTTGTTTTCCCCATATTTCTAGGCCTCCAATATTGGACGAAGACCTTCCAGGAGTTGCCTCCCAACGCCCAGGTTCTTGATGTTCGCATCTCTGAGCTACGCCACCTGGTGGACCAGCATCTCGCCCACCATGGCGAGCCGGCCGCGCCGCCCCTGGGCGAGCCTCTTTGCGCCTCGGCGTCGCTCAGGAGGGAAAGAGACACACAGGACACCATTCATCGTCGATTCCCGGGAGAATATGGGAAAATATGGGAAGTGTGGGGGGGAGACAAAAACCCAGAAAATAGGGGAAACTATGGGACATCCTTTTAGTTGTGTGTACTTGTTTGTGTGTCCCAGTTCCCCTTCAGTCACGCCTGGGGCCTTTTGCTTCGTGGAAGGGGAAGGCTTCTTCGCGGCGCCGCCGCTCCAGGCATCCCACATGGGGTCGGAGTAGGTGGGGTCGGAGGATTGCGCCGTCGCCGATGCAGCGCCGATGCATCGGTGATGCTGCGCGTGCTGCGCGATACGCCGCCCCCATCTGCTACGGCCCCATGTGGGAGGCCTCCGGCCACAGCTACCGTCACCCGCCGCTCCTGAGCGCCATAGATGCGGCAAAGCTCGGCCCCCAGTGGGGATTCGTTCCGATGTCGAATTGCGGGGAGAGGATCCCAGCGAGACGAGCGCTGTGTAGGGGAGGAGAGTTGCTTCTTTGTCCCTTTCGTCGCAGCAGTGGCAGCCATAATTAGCAGTGGCAGCCGTAGCGCTGTCAGTGAACAGCAGCCACAGCAGGAGGACGAGGACAGGTTCGCTTCATTCTCTAATTGACCTGCGATGTTCGATCAACAATTAACTTTGCTGTGGGGCGCCCCCGCGGGACCAAGTCTGCCCGGGTTGCGCTTGCGTTTTGCGGCGCTTGCTTGCTTGCTTGCTTGCTCGCTTGCTTGCTTGCTCGCTTGCTTGCTTGCTCGCTTGCTTGCTTGCTTGCTATGTGCCCCGTCGCCGCCTCGTCGCCACTCGTCGTCTGGGTTCGGTTTGGCGGCTATGTTGTCGCCGTCGCCGCCCCGTCGCCGCCTCATCGCCGCTCGTCGTCTGGGCCTCGTTGTCGGTCTGGCTGCCACGTTGTCGCCGTTTCGGCCCCATCTCCACCTCCTCGCCGCCCGTCGTCTGGTCTTCGTTGTCGGTGTGGCGGGTATGTTGTCGCCGTCGCCGCCCCGTCGCCGCCCGTGGTCTGGGCCTGTGCGTCGGTCTGGCGGCTATGTGGTCGCCGTCGCCGCCCCGTCGCCGCCACACATTGCATTGTAATGCATTGTCTTGCATTGCGTTGCATGGCACCACGTAGATTCCCCTTTCGAAGGAGAAATGAGGATCTACCACCATCACCCCATCCCAGAATTATCGCCTTCCCTTGAATAACGCAGTTTACACATGATTCTACCACATCACTAATGTTCTAAATCCCATCAGCCCTGTAAGGCGTGAGTGGTTAGGGAGTTTCTTCTTCCAACCCCCCTTCTTCCCCTTCGGAGATGGCTTTACCACTGCTCCCTATTAAGAAGCCCCCCCCCCCAGGCGACCGGTTCTTTTTCCCGAAAGGAGTTCTGATATCCCAGCCATTCCGAGTTCGACGCCCCCACCCTCGTCAGATAACGCTGCGCGCGCATCCGTTTATCAAACATCAGCCATTTGCAAGGACACCTTGCAAACAATGGGGTGAAGTGCGCATACGCGCGTCGCGCGCGCATGCCGAAATCTTTCAACAATGTGGGGCTTCGTGCGGATTTCGAAAATCGAGTGTCCCGAAAGCATATAAGCACACATGGTTGTGTACCATTTCTTTGTTCAAAAACGTATGCTCGCGCGCTCTCTTGCGAATTCTTGAGAAAGCCAGTGTTCCATTCAACGTAGTCATCAAATGCGACCAAGCAGTCATCTCGCGCGCGCATGTCGAGATCATTCGATCGCCCTTGCGAGCGTGCTATGAAGGGAGCTGGCGCGATCCCTATTAGATAATGCCGTGCGGGCCACTCGCGGCCGCTGGCCGCGCGCGCATGTCGAAATCCGTCTAAAACCTTCATCACCGACACGTGGACGCCATCATCGTCATCGGCGTGATCGGCATCGGCGCCGTCACTGGTTTTGCCGTCGTCATCGCCATCGCCGTCACCAGCACTGTTACTACCATCATCGTCGACGTCGCCACGGTATCGCGCCCGCCCCTGCCACCGACTCGCGCTGAAGTGCCCACGCGCCAGCGCGGCTTGCGAGACGCGCTGGAAAGTCCCCAGCGGTCAGCGCCACCGCGGCCGCGTCGGTCGCGTCAGACTAACTGGCCGCTCTGCGCGCGAGCCTGCGCGCGCTAGCGCAGCCGCAGCGATGCGGCAATCAACTCCAAGGAGTCACCGCAATCGCCCCGCATTGTTTTCGCAAACCGAATTGCGGGTGGGTGGGTGAGATGATTGCGTGAGCAGTGCGGTTGACAACTTCAAATTCGGCAGGGGTAGTTGCACCGTATAGATTGCACTGCGCGGATTGTGCCGCATACATTGCAGCGCGTAGATGGTACCGCATCTATTCTCTTTTCCCAAAAAGCATCAGGATCTGATCCCCCCCCTGGACTCAACGGAACCCCCTTTGTCGTATTGCAACTTGCACATGATTCTGCCCCATCGTCCACCCTAAATATGAATATGTATCATCCCAGCTGAACGGGTATCCCCCCATCATCTTCTGTAGAAAATGCGGTGCGCGCAATCGTTTATCACAAATCATCAGTTTCCAAGAATCCCTTGCAACAGAAAAGGGCGGAGTGTCACACGCGCGCGTCGTCGCGTGCGCATGCCAAAATCTATCAACAACCGTTGGTTTTTTAAAGGTTCCACGTTCTGGAATTATATAAAACACAAATTCGTCCGTAACGTGAAATTTCAAGCAAAACTTGCGCTCCGGCTCTTGCGTTTTTGTTGTGTTGTTGTTGTTGTTGTCGTCGTTGTCGTTGTCGTCGTCGTCGTCGTTGTCGTCGTCGTCGTCGTTGTCGTTGTCGTTGACGTTGTTGTTGTAGTTGTTGTTGTTGTTGAACATTATTTATTCTAAAGAATAATTATTGTTGGGCCCCCTGGTGCGCGCCCCCCCTGCGCCGCCTAGGCCGCAGCTACATTTTCATCATTTTCGTGAGGAAGCCTCAGAAAAGAGGGTGTGTACAGGATCCGGTTGTTTTGTTGTAATCCGCTTTCCCTTGCAAAAAACAATAGAAAATGACATTTCTTGTTCTAATATAATCAAATTTCAAGAATCCCTTGCAAAAAATAAGGTAAAGTGGACATTCGCGCGCGCAAGACGAAATCCTTCCAAAACCTTAGTGTTCGCAGCGATTTTAACATAAAAACATCAAAAAACCAATGGTTTTTCAACAAAAAATTGTCAAAATCTCATCCCGCGCGCTCTTGCGGATTCGTAGGAAACCCAACACTTTTTAAACATTTCTGTCAAACGGGCTTTTGCGAGCAACTTTTTCGAACTTCTGCGACAACGGTTGCGCACCTGCCAGGGCCATCATCCCTGTCAAATAATACCATGCGGGACACATTCGTTTTTTCTTCGCGCGCGCACGCCGTCGTCGTCGGCCGCGGGGCCCTGAATAGTAGCCACGGTCGTCCGCATGCCACGAAGTGAAGTGTCCGAACGTCATAGGGCGGGAAGCTGGGTGTGGGTGGTGGCGAAGAGTCGTTTGGAAATTTGGTAGAGCTTGAACCGGCCCCCCCACAAAGTGGGGGTATTGCCCGCCTCCTATGAAAACCCTGGCACTGGTGAGAACGGAGTGTCCCCACGTGCTAGTAATTGTTGTTGTTGTTTTTTTTTTTTTTTTTTTTTTTTTTTTTTTGGTATATGTTTACACATATGTATATATAGATATATATATGTTAATCTATCTATATATACACATATCAATTATTCTTTATATTTTCCCCATCGATTTCTCAACATTGTCATAACTTGCCACCGAACGGGCCTCTTGCGCGCGCATGTCGGAATCACTCGAACGCCCTTGCGAGCGTGCTGTCGCAAAGAGTCCCTGGCGCCCATTTCGAAACCATCTTGGGCCGTCTGGAAACATTTCTGGGACGGATGAGGCCCCTGGTTCTTTTGACCAGACCTCCCCCCGCCCCTGCCACACCGGCCGGGCCGAGCTCCTGGGGCAGGTGTTTGGGGAGGGGCAGCACTTACACGCGCCGACAAGGGGTCGGCGGAATTTTTGTCAATGGTGTGCCCAATAAAATGGCTGCACACACATTATTGCCACCGGCTCTGCAATTACAGCGCAATGTAAACGAGCGGGTCATGTCCAAAAGTGACGGGCCCCAGGCGGCACCGCATTTACAGACACATCACATCTTGAGACACCTCTGGATACCCTCGCCACAAAAAAGACGCACCGTTTGTTCTGGTTGCCTTCCGTTTCATCGAGGTCACCCATTCTTCTACGCCGTATGTCGCCACCCACCAAACCACGCTTACCCAACTCGAAAGCCTGAACTTGCCCTCCATTTCCAGTGTGGAGGGGGGTCGGGGAACATCAAGAAAACACATGGAACCCGTACCCCTCAAACCCGAAATTCGGGTCTTCGGGTTGGGTTGGGGTGTTTTGGTAGGTAGTCAGCCTTATTCTCCTTCTCCTCCCCGTGTCTTCTTCATCGTCCTTCGACCTCATCGCCCGCCCCCCTCTCACTTGTGCTTCTCGCTGTGCTGCTTCTCTTATTCTCCTCATCCTCGTTCTCTTCTTCTCCTCCTCCTCCTCGTCCTCGTACTCGTCCTCGTTCTCTGTTTCTCCTCCTCGTACTCTTACTCGTACTCGTACTCGTACTCGTACTCGTACTCGTACTCGTACTCGTACTCGTACTCGTACTCGTACTCGTACTCGTACTCGTACCCTTCTCTTCTTCTCCTCCTCGGCCTCGAACTCGTACTCGTCTCCGTGGCGGTGGCGGCGACAGTGGCGCGGGCTGCGCAGCGATTCGCAGATCGCAGAGGACGGCGGGTTGTACCGTCGGCCCCCTCTGAGGGCTCGGTTCTGCCGCCGCCTCCAGCCTTTCGGGTTGACGGCGTGTGGCAATGACGCCCGCGCTGTTGGTTCCGGATGGCTGATCCTTAGACGTGCATCGCTCGGGGGCTCCCAAGCGGTGTGGTGACCACACCGTGTGGTGAGCCAGCGGGGATTTCGGGTGACCGCACGGTTTTGGGATTCGGGTCGTCCTCCGAGGATGCATCGGGCGACCAGGGCATCGGGGTCGCAAAACCGTGCCATGACGGACCGTGCTGTGAGATCTTTTGGGGTCTCGAGGTCACCGCGCTGTCCGTCACCGCATGGTCTCGGGGCCCCGAATCCGCGGTCCCGTCGTGGCCCCACGAAGGACCACGTCATGCCTCACCCATCCCCGACATACTGCCCCTGGCTCCCTACCCTGCCTCTGCACTATCCGTGCTCCTGTCGCGAGGCCAGGTGGTCCCCAGGATCCGCGACGGCGTGGCGGCGGCGGCGGCGGCAGGTGGTTCTGTGCGCGCACGCAGCTGTTTGCAGACGAGACGCCTGACGGGGGCTCTGCCGCGCTGGGCGGTTCCGCGTCATGCCCGAGGCCAGGCTGGACTGAGGAGGCTCCGCGTCGTGCTTGACTTGTGGCATGGGATGGGAGGGGATGTGGTGCAACAAGAAACGCATTATTGCTTTTCACTCCATGAATGCCTGTTAAAAATACACGTGCATATCGTTCTGCGGAATATAACTGTTGATCATCTGACGCGGCGAAATGTCTGGTAACAGGAAAGGAATAGGCGCCCCTTCTTATCTCTCTTCCCCTTGTTTTCTTCTTAATTTCTTCCTTGGGGGATCTATTTAAAGGGAAGGTCTGGAGAGTGAGAGTGGCAGGGGGGGGGGGAACGGGGAAGGGGAGGGGTGCTCCCAGCAAGCGCAGGGCACTCGGTCCACTGTTGGGGCCTGCTCGCGCTGCGGGCAAGGGAGCCCCTGCCCCCGCGCGCCAGGCCAGGCAGAGCGCGCGCCTCCGGGCGCCCTCGTGCCGAAGCCCCCTTCCCCCTTTCCCAGCTCGGAGGTTGACAGACCTCCTTTCCCAGGAGGGGGAGGGGGAGGAGGGGGAGGAGGAGGAGGAGGAGGAGGAGGAGGAGGAGGAGGAGGAGGAGGAGGAGGAGGAGGAGGAGGAGGAGGAGGAGGGGGAGGAGGAGGGGGAGGGGAGGAGGAGAGGAGGGAGGAGGAGGAGGAGGGAGGAGGAGGAGGAGGAGGAGAGGAGGAAGGAGGAGGGGAGGAGGAGGAGGAGGAGGAGGAGGAGAGGAGGAGGGAGAGGAGGAGGAGGAGGAGGAGGAGGAGGAGGAGGAGGAGGAGGAGGAGGAGGAGGGAGGAGGGAGGAGGAGGAGGAGGAGGAGGAGGAGGAGGAGGAGGAGGAGGAGGAGGAGGAGTAGGAGGAGCACCACCCGGACCGGACATCTGTGGCGCTTCCTGAACGGCCCTATGGGCGTTTGCTTACCAGCTCGGGGGTGGACAGACCTCCTTTCCTGACTCGTCGATTAAGGAGTTGGCCGTTCTCGGCTCGCGAGAGGGCGTCGCGGTCGTCATCTTTGCGGGTCCAGGTGCGTCGGTTTCGGTCCCAGGCCGCTTTCACGAAGGGGAGGTTTACTAAAGGGAGGCTTGTCCACCCCCGACCAGGCGGCCCAAGGCAGCTTCCCCCCCCTCCCCCTCCCCCCACCACCCTTCCCCTCCGGCTCCTGGAGGATGCGACGCCCCCTTTCCCCGTTCCGAGCCCCCCCCCGCCCCCCTTCCAGATCCGCTGGGCGGAAGCTACCTCTCTCTTTGTTTTCCCTTGCCCAATGGTGTGACCTCCCCGACCTCCCGCCCCCTCATTCCTTTTATCTTTCCGACCTGGTTTTATGCTCATGATGGGTTGAGGGGGTCCATGGCCTGGGCGTGGGGCTCGATTTCCCATTCGGGGGGGTCCTGGGACACGCAGCAAAAAACAACAGACGCTTTTTTTTCCAGTGTGACAGATGCGCGCTCCTTGGCCACAATCTCACGCCGATTACGCCCTTGGCGGCTTCAGGACCGCCTCAGACCGCTCCGACAGAGCCCGCAGTCAAGACGCCGCAGGCTGCTCCCCGATGCCACTCGTCGGTACCAAGAGGCTCCAGGAGGCACGCACACGAAGTAACCAGAGTCCGAGGTAGCAAAAGTGCATCTGACTTATCGATTGCAGACACAGGCTTTCCACTCCCCCCTTGTCTTCCCGGCTGCACAATCAAGAACTTTCCTTTCCCCCCCTCCCCCTCCCCTGGCCTCTCAACTATCGCTTCTTCAGTGTCTTCGCTCCTTGCCTCGCTCCCCAGTATGTTCTCTCACCGAGGAGGGACATGCTAACAGCAGGGGTGGTATAACTAACTGGCAGAACGTGAGTGGAACTATTTTCCTCATCCTCCCCATCTGAAGGCTTGATGCACTCGCGCAGCATTGCCGAGGAGAGCCCTGGTCTCGATGCGGCTTGGTATGTGAGCTCGCTCTTCTTCGACATGATTGTGAGATGAGCATTGCTGGCGAAACGGCGGGGAAGGGGGGATTGGGTGAGAAGGAGGAGGCTGAGGAAGAGGAGGAGGAGCAGGAGGAGGAGGAGGAGGGGAGGAGGAGGAGGAGGAGGAGGAGGAGGAAGAGGAGGATGAGGAAGAGGAGGATGAGGAGGAGGAGGAAGTGGAGGAGGGAGAGGCTTTGCAGGTTTTGGCCTCCTTGTTGCAGCGGTCACCCTGGTGCCTTCATCGGAGGGGAGCGCCACGAATTGCGCTGGCCTTCGCCCTCAAATGGGCTACGCTTCTTCTCGGCGCGCGCAACGGATTCGATGGGAGGGGGTGGACGAGGAGGTTATTCGCTCACCAGGGGCCCCAGGTTCAACATTCTGCGGCGTGGGCACTCGCACGGACACCCGAATTGGTGCTCAAGAGCTTTCTTCCCTTCACACCGTAAACCTCATATGCCCTGGCGACGGTGATGTGACGATGGCGACGATGACCGGACGGTGGTCACGGTGTCGAGTGGGCAGAGGTTGTACTGGGACGATGGCGTCAGCAGGGTGATGCCCGACGACCTGCTGGCGGACGTGCAGAACCTTAGGTGCGCGAGGGCTTGGGGGGGCTCGAGCCAGCGCCCTCGCGCGAGAGCTCTCTTCGCTGTCCTCGTGCCCTCGTGTTCCCCAGGTCTTCTGCGGAGACTCATCCGGCGGCCCGTGCATGCGCTCTGCGTGTGCCCTCCCCGTCTCACCCCCCCCGTCCCCGCGTGGCCTCTCGGTTTGAGCCTCAAAGTTTGTTGTCCAGGACCTCCCTGCCGGGAGTGTTTTTTTCGCGCGCGCGTGAGTCGTGAGTATGCTTGTGGAAGTCGATTACTGGAGAGGAAGCATGCCGCCAAATAATTTCCAGATGTCTAAAATATGTTTCAACTATGTTGTAAATATGGAAAACATAGTTGAAACATTTTTAGGACATGCTTTACACATTTTAAACACATTCTTAATGTAGTGATGGGATTGTTCGAGTGCCCACTGTCATGGCATCCACAAGAGTGTGCGTGCGTGCGCGTGCTCTTCCGTACTCCTCGCGGCACCAGAGGCCTGTCTTGGGTAATACGCTGCGGTCCCGAGGGCCCATGGCCCGGGCTGGGACACCCTCCTAGACTTTCCCTTCCCTTTGGTCCACACCTTTTTCACCCCTTCCGGGGCCTCAGGGGAACCCCCTCCGGCGGCTCGCAACAGTTCTGGAGGAGGTCCGTGTGGGGCGTGATCCCTGTGAGGGGTGTGCCGACATTGGCAGGGGAATGCTAAGCCAAGCCTGTCTTTGGGCCGTCGGTGGAGCTTCCTGAGGGGCACGACGTGTTACAATATATGTCCTCGGATGCCGAACGATTCAGACAACAACTAGAGCTTGCTAGAACCTAAGCGCGCGAAGCGCGCGTGGTTCTAGTTACACGTAAACTTTGATCGCTTCGCTCATCCCGACGCCTGGGCCCTCTTTGGGGTCCCCTTGGGTTCCCTTCGGGCCCTCTGGGGGGGATCTTGAGGGCTCTGAACACCGCCCCCAAGAGTTCTGGCATGCGTGAGTTCTTCCGGACCCGCCGCGGCACAAGACGCCTGTCTTTACGTTAAAAATTGCATATTCAGCATTGCCCCTGACCGCACCTTTCATACCCGCATCCTGCCATGACGGTGGACCTGCCGGTGTCCACCATGGCCATGGTTGTCCTCCTGGGGCCCGCCGTGGTGCTCTGGGCCGTTGTCGAGGCTGGCATGCTGGCGCAGCGGGCTGCAGGCAAGATGATCAGAGGAGCAAGACTTCAGGATATCGATGCGTTCCAACATTTCCAAGATCTCCCAGTGTTCTGCGCGGGCTCGTCAAACGATGTTTCGCGCGGGCGCCACAAGCGAGGACTTGTAGACGCTCTGGAATTATTGACGCTTCGTGTGTTCCCACCAGACCATCCAACAGCAATCAGCAGGCAGGTCGCCCTGATCAGGCATGCGTAGCAGTATGCTGTCACACTCTTGGAGCCTCTTGGAGGCATCTTGGGGCCATCTTGGGGTTGTATTGGTGCCCTCCTGGGGTCGTTTTGGAGCTCTTTCGGGCTCTCTTGGGGCCCTTCTGGGGCCCTCGAGCCATCTTTGACGTTCCAACGCCTCGCGACTGGGCCTGCCCAGATCCAGGAAGGGGGCAGATGAGCTCGTTCTTCCAGCCTACTTCTTTCCCCCGAGGGAAAGAAGTAGGCTGGAAGAACGAACTCATATCGGGGTCAACCCAACATATTTATACTATATGTGCGCCTCCCCAGGGGCGACGCGCGCACCGAGAAATCTTACAGTATATGCGTCGTGGCGGGCGCTTTCTGGCCACACCGCTCAGGAAACGATATACTACAATATGGGTATACTATATGTTCGGTTCGGGCGCGCGCCTCCAAGGAGAATGTATAGTACTAGTATGTCTTTGTGCGTCCCATCATAGACCATCTACGCCCAACGCGCTGGGGGGATTCCCGGAACTCGGAGGGCACCAACTATATACGCGCACCGATCCTGGCCAGGCCGATCGTGGGCCTAGGATCGGTGCATTTGCCTGCCTGCCCAAGCCGTGCGAGCGTATACATCGATCCTGGGCCCAAGGTGAGCCTGACCAGGATCGGTGTGCGTGTATAGTTGGCATCCTTCTGCGGAACGCAAATCATATCGTGATATCGCTCTCGTCCACGACGGACCCACTTCTCACCACCACCGCCGCAGGCCAGGGCGCGGCTGGCAGAAAGTGGTGCTCTGTCGGGCGAGGCACCACCTTTTTTTGTTGGTTGGGAGTTTGTGCTGCTCTTTTTGGTTGTCAGTTGAGCCTGTTTATGCCTGGTTCTTTCTTTGTGGGGGCGGGATGCGTGAAACAACATAGGCCAGCCGCCTCTGGCTTTCAGCGTCGGTGGTGACAAGCAGGGCCACCCAGGCAGGGAGAAGCCATCCCTGGGGCCCCTGACTGGCGAGAAGATGCTGACGCTGCTCCGCTGCAGCTCGATTCTCGCCGGGGTGCTCTTCCTGTGCTACTTCTGCGAGCACCTCATGTGGAACCAGCCGGCCGAGAAGGTGGTGCGCCCGGAGATGTACTGGGGCAGCTTCGCGGTGCTCGTCGTTGTCTCTCTGTTCACTATCCGCAAGACAGACTGCAAGGACTTCATGAACCGCGAGCAGACGGAGGATCCAGGGGCAAGGATAGGGGGGGTTATAGGCTCAGGGGGGAATGCATTGACCCCCACTCGCCCATTGATCGTCGATAAGCGTCTGATAGCTCCACCCCGCCCAGGAACGTGCGGGTTGGCTATCGGGGGCCTATCGCCGATCTATCGGCGATGTATCGCCGATTCTAGGTCGACGTTTACCCCCTTGTGCTGTTCCCCCCTATCGATGCCCCTTCCTCAGAGGAGTGGAAAGGCTGGATGCAGTTCCTCTTCCTGCAGTACCACTACTGGAAGATGGAGGACGCGTACAAGGACATCCGCGTCTACATCACGTGCTACCTGTGGATGACAGGCTTCGGGAACTTTTCCTTCTTCTACGTTAAGCGGGACTACAGTCTCCTGCGCGTCTTGCAGATGATCTGGCGCATGAACTTCTTCGTTGTGTTCCTGTGCCTGACCATGGACAACCCGTACATCGTGTACTACATCTGCCCCTTGCACACGTTCTATTTCCTCGTCACCTACGCGACCATGGTCGTCTGGTCTGAGGTGAACCATCGTCAATACGCCCCCCTGGTCAAGGTGATTACCTGTGCCGCGCTGCTGTACACGGTGTACGACCTCATTCCCAGATCCTTTGATTTCTTCTTCTTCTGGCTCGGAAACAAGAGCACTGGAGCGCCCATCGGCGCCCACGGTGTGGAATGGGAGTGGTACTTCCGCAGCTTCCTGGACCATTTTTCAACCTGCTGGGGGATGGTCTTCGCTCTGAACATGCCGTTCCTCGCGGAGTGGTTCAAGAAGGTCGAGACTTTCTCTTTGGCCAGGGAATGGGGCATCAAGGGGACCGTCGCAGTTGGGCTCCTTGGCATGAGCGCGGCCTGGGCAGCGAACATTTACACCCGCAGCAAGGGCGGCTACAACGCTCTCCACTGCTACTATGCGGTCGTGCCCCTGTTGACGTACCTCTTCATCCGCAACATCTCCAAGACCTTCCGGAGCTACTACCTCCACGGCCTCCACTGGTTCGGCACAATCACGCTGGAGTCGTACCTCTTGCAGTACCATGTGTGGCTCGCCGACAACGCCGCCAAGCTACTGAACATCATCGAGGGGCAGTGGCTTCTCACCTTCGTGATCGCGTCGGTGTTGCACGTGTTCCTCGCGTGCCAGGTGTTCACCATCACCAACAAGCTGCGCAGCCTGGTGCTCCCCAATAATCTACCAGAGGCGCTGCGCAACCTGTCCATGCTCATGGCGGCTATCTTCGCAAGCTTCCTTGTGGCGCACGCGTTCAGCCACACTGGCCTCGGGGCAGGATACCTGTGCCTGGTTGTGCTGATGGTCGCGGCTGGCATCGTCGGCGCGGTCTTGAAAGCGTCGGAGTTGGTGCCGTCAGGCTCCAAGATCGCCGAGGCGCACACGACCGTGTCCGCGCAGGTCTTCTTCGGTGTCGCGTTTGTCGGCTGCATGGTCGCGACCCATACCATGATGGGCTACAGCAGGGAGGTGAGCGCCAGGGTGCACCTCATGGCGAACGAACGCAGCGCATCTGCTCGTCTGACCAGCGTGTCCGGCCTGCAGATGACGATGAACCAGCCAACGGCGGTAGCCCTTGCGCGCGAGCTGGACCACTACGAGCTTCTGGACTCCTTCATGTACGGCCGTGAGCATGCCTTCGAGATCGGCTCACTGGCGCAGCCGTGGCACGGACTGGTGGCTATGGCGGCCCTCATCTGGTGCATCGCGTGCAGGGACTCCTTCTTCGGCCTCTCGCGCCTGGCGTTGGCGATGCTGGGCCCCGAGGGGCAGAAGACCATCACTTGGGAAGAGGCCTACGGCCCAGTCTTGCACAAGCTCGGCATTCGCAAGCCGGACGCCGAGGAGGCCGGCGTCACTGGGGAGCCGCCGAACGAGCGCACGCCGCTGACAGCCGGCTGCGCCAGCAAGTGATGGGGTGCGCTCGCCGCTCGTCTTCACCTTATTCTCCTCGTCCTCCTCGTCCTCTTGGTCCTCCTCGTCCTCCTCGTCCTCCTCGTCCCCCTCTTCATCCTCGTTTTCCTCGGCCTCGTTCTTGTCCTCCTCCTCCCTTAATCCTCGTTCTCCTCGTCCTCGTTCTCGTCCTCCTCCTCCTCGTCCTCCTCCTCCTCCTCCTTTTCCTCGTCCGCTTCCTCGTCCTTGTCCTTGTCCTCGTCCTCGTCCTCGTTCTCGTCCTCCTCCTCCTCCTCCTGCCTCGTCCTTCTCCCTGCCTTCCCTCTGCTCTCTCAAACAGGATGCTCTGCCGCCGTTCGGCCCAGCGCCAGCGCGACAACTTCCTTTGCCGAGAACTAACTGGAACGTTTTGGATCTTACTGTATTGCCGCCATGCTCTCTCAATTTACCCCCCCGCAATTCTAGTTGTTAGCGGAGCTGGGGGTGAACCCAGCTCGTGATCCACCGAACGTGCGCAGTGTGCGATGTGGACGCACATTCGCATTTCCCTCCACCTCCGCATTGGTACCACTTTCCAATACATGAACAATTGTGCTCCCGTCTGTTCTGCAAACGTACGGGGGATACTCCTTGGACGCACACAGACAAACAACATCGCTCGAGTCTGTGTGCAGGTCCGGCTGCGGGGGCCAGAGCAGCTGCAGGCGACGCGATGTGGAGCGAACCGCCCACGGGAAGGCCACGACGTTCCTCCGACCCATCACCCCGCAGATGCTTGCCGCAGCCTCGCGTCGGGCATGGCAGCGAGGTTCCTCCATGGGCTAGTACCGTGCGTCGCAAGGTGCGCGACAGTGCTAGCTGTCCTCGCGAACGCGTCGCGCCCTTCGATTGGATCACTGAGCGCTAACGCACCAGTTTCACCCATTTTGGCACCGACTGGGGCTGCCAACGCTATTGCGGCTGCCCCCACGTTCGACATGGCGTTCGTCCCTGCGCAAGCACGAGTCCCAAGGCGCCTCCGCAGCTCTCATCGTGGTGGAGTCCTTTTGAGGAGGATCCCATCTTGACGTTGTGGGGCAATATCTTCATGTTCTTCGTGGCGCCCTTCTCTGGCTCACCTGCGTGATGCTTGGTGGAGCCGGCCCACACGGTGGCCGCCCTTTTCTGACTCACTTGCATCGTGCTCGGTGGAGCTGTTCGCGAGCTCACGCGCTCCATGAACTCCACGGATATGATGGAGGGAGGCGTGGTCAACGGCCAGCACGAGAACCCCGTGACCTTGCTCATCGCGAGCCTTGCCACGCATTTCGGTCCTCTAGGCGAGAAGTCGCGCCTCTAGGATACCCGCGGGCTCTTCGAGTTCTCGAGGTGCGGCAACGAGACTACCGATGCGCTGATCTCGTGGCTTCTCACGCTGCGATTCCGAGTCACTAACAATGGTAGTGCTGCAATGATTTGGGAAGGCTACAGTTGGCTTCTCCCCCGAACAATCGGTGCCACAGCTAGCCTACTCACGACGCTGCTCAACCCTACGGTAAACGATATTCCGCCACGAGCCTGAATTTAACAGCTTCACGACTATGCTCAGGCGCGTGAGCCGCATCGTGGTGCATGCATTAAGCGCATCGCCGGCGCAATTCGTTCGCCGCCATCGTTCGGAGGCTTCGCGGGCATGACCAGCGAAACCAGTCGCGACGCACTTCCCACATGCCCTTGGCGCGCTCTGGGTCTCGACCCCTGGGAGTCAGCGCCGCCGAACTTCCCGGCGCTGGCGGTGCTGCGCACTGTGCCGCCGGCCCGCTGCAGAGCGCCGTGCTGCCGCGGGTCGCGTGTCCCGCCGCCGCGGGGGCGCCCGCGGACGGGGCCGACTGCGTCAGTGGAACCTCCTCAGTCACCAGTTCGGATCCAGGCGGAAAAATCAGCCGCCGAGCTCCAGAGTTCCAAGGTTTCATCCCTGCCCAGATGGCCAGCTGTTTTGGCAGATGAAGATAGGGAAACGTCAAGGTCGTAGGCGCATTCGACGTCCTGCGTGCAAGGTGCGCAGATGCATCGAGAAGAGCAGCGACGCCATCTCCAGGAAGGGCGAAGGCAAAGGCAAAAGTGCCCAGAAGTATGCGTGTTTCTTGGCGCTCTCAGATACTCGAGTAGATTGAGTGTTTTTGGTTGGAAAGGACAGATCAAAGGCAGCCGCTCGTCGGGGAGAAGGGGGGCGGCAGGCGCCGCAGTCCCCAGGCGCCGCAGTCCCCATGACGTGCAGTATGTGTGAAACAGGGGCCACCTTTTTCCCGCGCCGAGCGCCCCCGGGGCGGCGGCGGCCATTTCGGAGGGCAGGGGGGCGCAGAGCCCACAGATGGCTCCCTGGACCAAGGATTCCTGGCCGGCATCTCAAGAGTTGCCTTCGCGGTCGCGGAGGGGCCCTCCTCGGCCGCGGCCGGGGTCCGGCGGCGCGCCGGTGCAGCCGTCCGTCGACGGCTCCCAGCCGCTGCCTGGATCTGCCCGCGGCTCGTGGTCAGCAGCCCCGCTCGCCGCGGTCCAGAGCCACGCGCGCGCCGACGCGCGAGCCGCCCTGCCACCGCCTCAGATGTTCAACGTTGCGACGCCAACTTTTGGGCTGCAGCCGTTGCCAGCGCTGCCGCCGTTCACTGGCGCGGCCGCAGACGCCGCGGGGCCGGCGGCGGCTGCGGGCGGAGCTCGTCCATCTGCTAGCGCGCTGCTGAGGACTGCAGTTCTGCGGGGCCCCGCGACGTGAACCTCGTCGAGTAGCGTTGCAGGGGCCGCGCCTGGCGCCGCGCGGCTGGGGGGCTGCGGCGCTGCTGCCCGAGGGCGCGCAGCTGCGCGGCGGCGGAGAGCCCGGGTGCCGAGCGGCGCCGGCTCACGCTAGCCGCGGAGCACCCGGGGGCGGAGGGGCGGCAGCCGTGACATTGGCGCTGCCCGCCGCCGCCGAGCGGGCGGCCGGGCGCACGTCTGCGCCGGCGCCCGCTCAGGACCAGGCGAGGGCGGCGCAGCGCGCACGCGCGCCGGGGCCCGCCTGGAGGAGCTGCCCCGGGGCCCCGGCGCCGCCGCTCGCCGGCAGGCGCCCGGGATGGACCGCAGTTCCACTCGTCGCCCTCATGGGGATGGTGGGGGTGGCCAGCGCCGAGCTCGTGCACGGGCAGGCGGCCCCCGACCTCGAGGTCTATTATGACGACGAGGCGAGCGTGGACATGAAGGGGTTCTGGCTCGACGGGCCCATGGACTCCTCCGCGCACGTGGACGCGCTGCCGGTCGGGGTTCACTCCGCCAGCGGGCGTGCCGCTCCGGCAGGGAGCGGTGGAGGGGGGCCGCCGCGCGCGCGCTCTGCGCCGCCGGCCGACCCGCCCCCCCAGGCCCCGGCCCGCGCCCCCCCCCGACCCCTCCGACGGGGACCCATCGTCCTGGATCAGGGTTTGGGGTCTTTTCGGCATCAGCTGGAAAGATATCGGCAACCGCACGCACTGGTTTGCCGAGGGGATGGGCGGGGGCACCTTCCGGGCTGTGGGGAGCTTCAGGTCGGCCTTCTCGACTCGCGAGGCAGGGGGTTGGTTGAGCTCCGACGGCGGCTGGGTGCTGTACATGGCCGACCAGGTGGGCCTCTACCTGTTCGGCTCCGCGTGGCCGTTGATTGCCGGGCTCGTGGCGATCCTCTTCGGCACTGGCGTGGTTGCACTCCTGGCCCGCAGCCTGAGGACGCTCTTCGCACCCTGCAGCTGGGCAGCCTGGACATGCAGCCTGGTGCTGGCGTGCTGCCCCTGCCCGAGGCGCAAGACGCCTGGCGAGGCTAAGCTTGGCAAGCTGGTCCCGCCGGCGGCGCCGCCCCTCGCCGACGTGGTGTGGCGCGGCCCAGCCGTAGGTGCAGATCCGACGACCGACTGGTACCGCAAGAGCATCAAGGAGGGCAGGGGCTCCAAGCGCGGCCAGAACGACCTCCTGATCAGGGTCGACTACCGGGTCGCGCGACTCAAGCTCAACATGAAGTCCCCGGCGCGCATCAATCGCCAGGGATTGTGGGTTGAGTATGATTCTGTGAAGGGCGCTAGCGACAAGGGCTTCAGGCGCGAGCTAGAGCAGCGCGATCCGCGCTGGCTCCACCTGTGCCGCTCCACCAGCTGTGCCGGATGTAAGGGGCGCGAGAACGAGCTGCACTGCAAGGAGTATGCCGCCCTGCCCGGCGGAGCCCTGCTCCGCGGAGCCGCACGCCTGAGCGTGCCGCCGCGGCACCAGCCCGGAGTCGCACACCAGAGCGCTCCACTCCGGCGGTCTCTCCTCCAGAGGCGCCCACCAGCCCGGGCGACCCCGTCCCTGCGCCGGCTGGGCCACCGAGCGTGCGCTTCGAGGCGCCGCCGGTTCCGGAGTTCCCCAAGCCGCCCACGCCGCCGCCCATGCCCCTCGGGCGACGCTTCGTCGTTCGGGCGAGGGTACAGTGGCCAGAAGGAGCGCAGTGTATGATTTTCAGAGGGAGGGCGGCCGACGCCGTCGCGGCCAGCGCAGTGGCTGACTACCTCGACGGCGCAATGGCTCTCGAGGTGGAGGACCCGACTGGCGCAACCATCCGCTTTCTCGTGAAGCCTGACGGCGTCATCCGTGCGCCTGCCCCAGGACCCTCAGAGCGTCTGCCAGCGGGGTTCATCGAGGAGATGCTCCACCACGCGCCCCTGGGCTGCGAGGAGCTCGGCGTCAGCGTCTCGGCGACCAACGTACCCGAGGAAGTCTGGCATAAGCTGGCGGCGTGGCACGGGCTCCCCGTGGGCGGGCGAGCCGGGCCGCTCAGCGAGGCTCGCTGGCGGCTGCTCCGTGAGAAGGTGGTCAGCTTGGTCAGGTGGCACCCCGAGGGAGGCGTGGCGCCCAGTCCGAACTTCGAAGCGAGAGCTACAGAGGCTGACGCTAAGCTGCGCAGCCACTGGCAGCGGCTTGACCGCAGCAGCTCGCCCAGGCCACCAGCTGGGTCCACGCGCCGTGGCTCACGCTCCCCGTCCGCCGAGGGCGGGCGGGCAGCGAGCTCTGAAGCACCAGTATCAGGAGAGAGCCATCAAGGGGACGACGGCGGGGACATGATGGCATGCTACTTGGAGGAGAAGGCCCGCGGGTCGAGCGACGCAGCGGCGGTGCAGAGTGTGGCCGCCGGCTTCGACGTGGAGGCCCAGCAAGTGCTCGCTGGCCTTGTCCGCTACGCCCAGCACCTCAAGCAGCAGACGACCGAGCCAGAGGAGCTCGCGCGGCTCGATGGGCACAGCGGTAGTTGGGAGGCACTCCAGCAGGTGCCCTCACGACCTCAGACCCCAGAGGCGGCGCCGAGTAGCCTTCAGGGCCTCCTCAGGCTTCCGCCCGAGCGCCACCGCTCGCAGGGGCCGCCGGCCATCCAGGCCGACAGCGCGCCCCTGTTCGAAGCGCGGCCACCCCTCTCGCCAGCAGCGGCCACGCCAGCCTTCACCTTCGGGCCGCGGGGCGCCGGCCTCCCAGCTACCGCGGCTGGGCTGGCCCCGGTCGTCCGCCCACAGGCTCCGAACATCGGGGCCCTGTTCCGCTGCGACCAGCACGTCGGCGACTTGGGCCTACCCCCAGGCCTGACCGCAGCTCCAGCGCGCTATGCCGCAGGAGCCCCGGAGCAGGGCGGAGGCAGCGACCCGTTCGGCCTCGCGCACCCCGGAGCACCCCTGGACGCGAACACCGCGCGGATGCTCCACGCCTTGGAAGGGGTCGCCAGTGCCCGCCAGGGTGACAAGGCAGCCCAGCGAGGGACGGTGGCCGCACTGGGGAGAGCAGAGGAGTTGGACGTCTACTTGGCGCGCGGGTGTGGCCAGCTGACAGTGGAGGTCTGCGATGAGGTCCTTGGGCGCGAGCTGTTCTATGCTCTGCGCCGGACCTGCGAGCAGAACAAGGCCTTGATGCTCGCCGTCGAGACGCCCGCGACAGTGTCCAACCGGATCGCGATGGCCTGCGCCTCGCTCAGCTTCGGCGGCAGCAGCTTGGACAACTTGGCTCCGTGGTCGGCCTCCGTGGCGGACTTCCCGACGTGCAAGACGGTCGTGTTCGACAAGTACAGCGCACCGCGCGACACTAAGCTGGAACCCAGGCCCAGGGCCCCCGTGGTCTTTGACCAGTGGAAGCGGCAGGCCCAGAACATGACCAAGTTCTTCGGGCTCGTCTTCGGACAAGAGCATACCAAAGATCGTCTGGACTGCCTGGAGACCCTCGCGCGGGAGTGCGAGAAGGACGACCACGCTTTCCCGCCCAAGTTCGTATACGAGCTGTGGGAGGAGCTGTGGGCGACCTGGTGTGAACGACTTCGAGAGAAGAAGCGAGGCCTCCTACGCGTGTTGCAGACAGACAACCCCAGGAAGGAGGATCTCAAAATGGTGGCTTTCGCTCCCAGGGCGGACGGACGCCCGGCGTTCGTCTTCCCCAACGTCTTCGACCTCGAGTCCCCCGCGGGCTACTACCAGGAAGTCGTACGTCCTCGGCAGCAGCGCTACCTCCAGACCGTCCTCAACGACTCGATGCATGGGGTGCGCGGCGCCCCGGGCAAAGCCGGAGTGGTCGGAGGAGAGAGAGACGAACCAGCTGCGGAGCCACAGGAACAACGAGCAGGAGCCACCCCCAAGAAGAAGCCCAAGGCCAAGGCCCAGCCGAAGGCCAACTCCACGCGCGCCGCCTACCCTGCGGGCAAGCGGCTGAACGCACAGGAGATCAAGCTCTCTGTCCGGCACGCGCCCTGCGACAAGCAGGGCAAGCCGCTCTGCTGGGGCAATTCGACCTGGATAGGCTGCAAGAAGGGCGCTCAAGGGTGCTCGCATTCACATGGGCTCATCAAGGGCCTCAAGGGCGTGCACTGGACCGTGCAGTGCCAGCTGCTCAGGCGAGGTGGGCTCCGCAACGCCGCCAAGATCGACCCAGCTTCGGTCAATGGGCGGATCGCGCAGCTGCGGGCCCAAGCTAAGACCGAAGCTGACGGCAAACGGGCTGCAGGTGCGGGGGCAGCGGAGAGACAGCCTACCAAGACAGGCTGGGCGCCGCCCGACGAGTACGCCGAGGTTCAGTGCACCGAGCTCGAGTCGGGGCTTCGCGAGGCAGCCCAGGGACCCGACGCTGCCTGGTTGGAGGACCCGCGCGCCGACAGCCCAGCCCTGGTTGGGACGAGTGTCTGCGCAGACGAGGGAGCCTTGGCCCAGCGAAAGCTGCTCGAGGCCGTCCAAGAGAGCGGGGTGCTCGACTCCGTGAGCCACGCCAGCGACTACACGCGGTCGCATGTCTTGGCTCGTCTTGCCTGCGCCCGCGGGCGCAAGGAGGAGCTCTCGGTCGAACAAGTACTCCATGAGGCGGCGCGCCACGGCGGGCCCACCCTGGCTGCCGAGGCTAGCGAGCTCCTGGACCGCATCGGGGCGAAGGCTGGCAACCTGGGGGCTGACCCAGACGTCATCATAACACCAGTGCGGTGGAATGCTGAGAAGTCGGTGGGACAGGGCTCCGTCACAGTGCAGGGCCAGACTTGGCACTACCTCGACTATCAGGACCAGCTGCCCCTCGACGAGTGCGTCGCGAAGCGTCTGCACGTGCCCGCCGGTGTTTCGGAGGAGCGTCAGTGCCTCCCACTCCACCTGGCGGCAGCCAAGCTCTGGGTGCAGCTCGAAGCACCACCCGACGCCCAGCAAGTCAAGGACCTGGCCCTTGAGATCCGCAGAGACCTCCTGGAGAAGGCTACCGACGCTGCTGCGGGCCTTGCCGACGCCCCACCTTGGATATCTTCCAGGGAGGCCGAGGTCCGGATGCACATCCATGATGCGGTGCATCGCGACCACGACAAAGACTTCAGGTGCGTCGCCCTCTTCCCGTGCAAAGCGTTGGAGGAGGTGGTGCTCAGAGTATGGCGGGCGGATCATTCGGGTCGTTTGGATATTGACACAGTTCTCCCAGCGGGAGAACCCAAGCAGGAGTGCCATGTGATCATCCATCGCGGGCATATGCGTGTTCTTCATTCCCCGCCCGGCGCTGAGGGTCGACGAGTGGCAGACGAGCTGATCCGCACCTGGGCCACGAGCGGGAAGGACCTCAAGGAGCTCCCCACCATGGGCTGGGAAACATACCTCGCCTCCGAGGGGGATGGCAGCCCAGTGGTGGCCAGCAAACCTCCACCGTGCCAGCACTTCAGGGCCCTCGCCGCGCAGCAACAGCAACGTGGGAGAGCCGCCGGCGGTGCGCCCGCCGTGGTCGAGCTTCCCACCGAAGTGGCCTGCCCGGACTTCAGGGACTTGGAGCCTTTGCGCTCGCGACCCAGGTTCGCGTGGGGGCTCAGGACACGGGGGATTTTCGCCGGCACAGGGCGCTGGACGCAGGCTATGAAGAACGCGGGCATCGCCACCAGCGAGTCCGTCGAATACTTTGGGCAGCCTCTGCTTGGCAAGGACCCCAGGCCGCAGTTCGACATCCGCGACCCGCTGGTGCGCGAGCGCCTGTGCCAAGAGTTCAGTGCGCCTCCGGGCCCCGACGAGGCCAACGTGCTGCAGTTCGCTCCACCCTGCGTGAGCCATTGCCCCTGGCAGTTGGCAGCAGGAGGGACGAGAACCTTCGAGTGCCCGGATGGGGCTGGAGAGCGCCGTGTCGAGATCGACGGCAACGTGTTCGGGGAGTTCGCGTGCATAGGGGCGAAGCGGGGCTACGAGGCAGGACGGGAGTTCCTCATCGAGTCCTCAGCGCGGGATGGCCGGTACCCCAAGCTTTGGGATCGCCCCTGCATGAGAGCTCTGGTGCACGCGACTGGAGCCCGAGTCCTCGCCATAGACATGTGTGAGTGGGGACTCGCACCTCCGGGCGAGCCACAGCATCGGTATCAGAAGCGAACCTGGTGGCTGGCATCGCTCGGGCTCTACCCCTACGCCCTGATCCTGGCCAGGAGGTGCACAGGCAAGCACGCGCACCGCACGTTGGAGGGCGGCTTACCATACGACCTGGCGGACGCCCAAGTGGAAGCCTACAACCTCGACGCGCGCATGCGGCTCAGCAAGACCGAGGCAAGCGAGCTGATCAGCCTCAGCACCAAGTTGGGTGAGGCTAGCGGGTGCTACGGCCTTGACGAAGACGGCGTCACCGTCAAGCTGCCCCCCGACGACAAGCTGCTCCGCGTGAACCAGCTCATCGCGCGGGCCGCCCCAGACAATTTCCACTGGGCGAGGATCGACTTCCGCGCCAAGCGGCACTAGTCCGCTCTGCCTGAGAACCAGTGGGCCCTCTACTTCGGGAAGACCCCCGAGGGCGAGCTCCACTTCACCATCGGCGCGCAATCCCCGCCCAACCTGGAAGGTGGAGGGCGCGTCCCCAGCGGCAACTCCCAGCTCAGCGCTGCAGTAAAGGGGGAACTGGGAAGCGCCGGCTTCGGGCTGGGACTGCGGGGCATGCGGAGGACCCAGCGCGCGGGGCAGTATGCGCCGCGGCTGTGCGCTGCCTGGGCAGCCGTGCTGAAGGCAGCGGCTGCCGGCACCGCCCCCGAGAAGCTGGAACAGCAGATTGCGGCGATGGACGCCGAGGCGCGGGCTTTGGAGGAGAGGTTGGAAAGCAAGGTGGCGCGGGCCGGGCGTTCTGACGCCCTGGAACAAGACCCCCCCCCCTTCTTTTCGGCCTTCGGCCTGTGCGGCGGAGGGCGCTGGGACCGAGGACGGGACCATCAGCGAGCACGGCGAGAGGTGCGGCAGCCTGAGGAGGAGCACCATCACCAGCCGCACGGAGGAGGATCGGAGCGGATGCAGTTGCAATCACGACACCAGCTGGCTGGAGGCCCTCGCAGCGGCTGCAACGTCTCGGGCTGCCTATCCCACCCGAAATGGAGAGGCTCAATGGAGGTCAAGATTGACGAGGGCTCAAAGGGCCCCCGTGGAGGCGGTCGTTCAAAGGGCGGCTGCCCGGAGAGAGACGCGGCGGAGGAGGACAGCGGGAGCTCAGAGGGCGAACGCCAAGGTGAGGACGAGTTGGAGGTGGAGACCGACGGCGAGCCGACCATGATCGTGTGTGGTGGCGACGAGAAGCGGGGCGGCAAGCGGGGCGGCAAGCAAGGAGGCTGGAAGCGCAACAAAGCGCGCAAGCGTGAGGCGCGTGAAGCTGCCGCTCGTGGAGGAGGCGGACCTGGTGGAGGTGGTGACGACGACGGCGATGGGGATGAGAGCCCCGAAGAAGAGGAGGAGGAGGAGGAGAACCGCCGCCAGAAGAAGGCGAGGGAAGCTGAGGACGAGGCATCACGAGCAAGCCCGGTGCGTGTTTTCGTCCCGCAGCAGGGCGACCAGTGGGTGCTGCTCAAGGGGGGCCCGTTCGAGGCTGGAGAGGTCAAGGCAAGGCTGAGGGTCTCGGAGGCACTGTCCGGAGGCTTCTTCGACGCAGATCAGCTGTACCTCTTCGAGTACACGGAGGACGAGGACACAGCAGGCGCGCATGGGCCGCCTCTCGACGACGAGGAGGCGGTGCGCCCCGGCGAGAAGCTGCTGCTGTGGGCCACGTTGAAGCCGCCGAAGGAGTGGACCAGCTGGAGCCCACGGTGGAATCGAGATCAGCAACCGGCGCCCGGCGCCACCGCCCAGGCAGGTCAG